TATGCGTGGAATCAACGATTCAACTCGTAAATGATTTAGCTGGAATTTACTCTGAATACTGAATACTGATTTTATTTCAGATTATTTAAGCCAACATAATTCAATATCATGGTGCCTTAAATCACTTATGCTAACTGGTCAAAATTCTTATTTATGGGATAAACCGGCAAAGGAGTAGACGTATCACCTGATGGTAAGCAATCGGCGTCGCCCATGCACACCTGGAACACTAAAGGCGTTACAAGTGCGTTACCGGCCTTTTGGGGATTAGGAGTTTAAGGATCGTTGGGGATTCAGGCATTGGGGAGATTGGGGAAGGGGGTGAGATAATAGAGCCTCCGGTAACGAAGAAACACAGTGTAAGCGTCGGTTTTCTGTGAGGCCGTGGTATCACTCCGGTCGAGCCGGCCCATTCGTGCCGAAGCATGACTCTCCCACACTTGAGACTTAGCACTGGAATACGATTTAAGGGATTACGACATAGAATTAAATATTTACTTCTAATTAACCAATTTCCGAAGATTCGTTGCGAAAAATTGTTGCCAGTGCCAATTATAATTTATTTATTGGCACGATTATACATAAAACTATTTATGCATATTGGCTGCATGCTCTGCTCGGGCCCGCCCAGTTCACATTATACTCAATATGAATAACTGAATACACTAATATCCAGCATTTTAAATACTAAACACTTCTTTTGTTTGTGATGTTACGTGCTGCACACATTAATTTAATTTGTCTTTACATATAAAGCTTCGTACACATTCAGCCAACATCAAGAAATTAGTTAAAGTATATACGACTATTTTTATCTAACTCTCTTTTGTATTGTCTGAAGTCAGCACTGACTTTACAATAGGGTAGATGACTAATTTTTATTTTAATGTCCGTCTGGTAGATTATTTTAAAATATTACACGCGTATTTTTTATTTTTTTACAGAAACGAATACTTTCGACGATATATTGATTTGAAATGTCGCGTGACGTCACTTCTATGTGCATTTTATACGTAGAAATGACGTTTAAGCTCCCACTCCTAAACTTTGATTCGTTATATCTAGTATTGTTTTATTATACGACAAAAAAAAAATTACTGGTTTCTGTATGGATAATTTTGCACTCTCAAAAATGCCAAGCATCAAACTCAAAAAATTTATAGCTTTGATTTTCATTACCTAACTGACGGACTAATTCGATTTTTAATTTTCATACCCATTCACTACTCAATTCGGCAACAGAACACACCATTTAGTACTATTGACCTATCCTCCACAACTGTGAAAAGTGATAAGTACAGATTCGTACATTTTACTCTTTGAAAATCAAAGGTATACATTTTTTGAGTTTGATGCTTGGCATTTTTGAGAGTGCAAAATTATCCATACAGAAACTAGTAAAGCACTTTCATTGTATTATGATTACAGCTCAAATAGATATAGGCTTTAGATACGACAGTCGATTAAAAGTGTTATAATTTGATTGAAAGAAAAACAATGTCTGTCTGTCAAATAAAAACACCTGCCGCGTTGGTCGAGTGGCCGCAAGTGCGACTGCCAGGCAAGGGGTCTCGGGTTCGATTTGCGGGTCGGGCAAAGTACTACTAGGTTTTAAAAAAAATTCTTACTGGTAGCACGGAGTCTGGAATTGCGTTATATGGCAATAGGCTCACCCCCTATTACATGGGACTCATAATAGAAATAGTGAAGCGGGTGTCACATACATTGTACAGTGGCATAAAGTGCCACAATGTGCACCTCTGCCTACCACTTCGGGGATAAGAGGCGTGATGTTATGTTAAAAACAATGTTCAGTCTTATGTCTCTCATAAGTAAGTAAAGAAATTTTGTAATGATCTTTGATCTTTACATTGCAAAATTGCGCTTATGACACACGTCTTAAGAGTTTCGCACGGTCCCTTTGTCAAGCCATCTTTAGTTTCAATTTTGTCCGTCTATTGTATGTGACTCGGTGACACAATATAACGTCAGTTATTTTGAGACATGTGACGTCATCGGACATATTAGTAGTCAATGCAGGTCAACTTTTGTTTTACTTTATTTAAACAGGTTCCAATGACGGTGGAGACTTGGACCACAAATGGTTCTTAATTTAAATGTTACTATTTTTAGTTATAAATGATTGTTATTAAACTGAGTAAAGTGAGAATTTTTAATTCCTATAATAAAAGCCTTAATTAAACTAAGAGAATTAAGAAGAGAATTTAAATGAGGATGGAAGTGAGAAGAACATGGACACCTAGAAAAACCAAATAAGAAGGTAGTTAATGACGTATAACGTCATCATGGGAAGGCCATTTAGGCAGAGGTGTACATTACGGCACTTAATGCCACTGTACAATGTAACACCATGGGGTGAGTCTATTTAATGACATATAATTATGTATGAAGTGGAAAGAGCCATATTTCGCTGACATAAAATAAATGTGAGACCAAGACAGGCAGAAGAAGACTGAAGAAGACAAAACAGTTTGCCTTTTATAAATAATTTTTAGTTTGGGAAACAGTACATTAGACGTAAGAAGGTGCGTAGAATACTAACTGTTAGGTACACAATTTTCTTCGCTTCTTTGCCACAGAGCATACAAACACGCGTACTGTCAAAGATCTATTCACGCTTTCTCCCATGACGTGTAAGTAGAACTCGAAACGGTATTCACAACAAACGTCAATACGAAACTAACAATCAACAAACCCATAGGTTCTGTACACATTCACTTTCATGCAGTAAGTTCGTTGGAGGTTACTTTAGAAGGTACCGTCAACTTTGTGTTAAGTTTTGACTAGCTAACGCCCGAATACTGAAAGGCTACTTACTCCATTTTGATTGTACTTTAATAACGTGCCATCATCGCTGTCACTTAAAAAAAAAAAGAATTTGTAGTTCCAGAATTTTATTTAAACGCGACTTAAAAGTTAGTGGCCTTTCTGTATTCCATAACCATTCAGTTAAATACTTACCTATAACCACATAATAATGCAAGGTAGGCAATATATATGGTTTATATAACTGACTAATATTATATTCCACATTTGTACACCAGAAATGGTCAAACATGTTGATACTATGCTCACTGCTCATCTGTACAACTTATAATGTGCATTTATGATGTATTATTATTTAACACGTGTTTTTACAAATAAATAATCTTTGTCTTTGTCTTTGACGCCTAACGTAAAAGTTAGTAGACCTGCTGTGAAAAGGCAAGGTATTGTTGTCAAAGACAAAACAGAATTCCATAATTCCAGAATTCACTATTGAGACGTACCTATTTGAATCTCTAAAAAGAGGGTGATATTTCATTTCCCAATGAGAATATTGACGTCATAAATGTTAAATATTTGCTTTATCTTCGACTTTTACTTGCAACTATAGAAACAATCTCTCTCAAGCTTATTTTTAGTATAAAACAGATACATATCAACAGAGAAATTCCACGGTTCAAGGCAAAACATATTACAAGCATACACACAAGGCAATCCATAGCAATATTGGTTGAAAGGTCAATCATTGCGTAGTCTCCCCTCCTCTCAAAAACCATCTCGACTCCATGTGGTTGACCTCAAGTTCTACCTAAATGGTATTAAAAATTAAAAAGTTAAGGTGACTTCGTTGTATCAATAAATATATTGACCTGACCTAATATTTATCTAGGTCTGTGTGATTATTTACTTGAATACTTCACACACGTGTATTGTATGTACATACATAGGTACATTCGTGGTTTTTCAATTATTAGAGGTACTATGTTTACGGACATCTACTTAAACATGTGTAGTTGAGTGCAACTGATTATTTTTTTATGAAATTAGTTCTTGTGTGCTGATGGTCGTAATGTCGTAAGGCGGCAATTACCTTAGTAATCATGATTGTGTTATCCTTATATTCATTTCTTATTAGATTAAGGTACAATACGAGTAAGGTAAATGAGTAACGAATAGAGTTTTTTGCTCGTTCTCCTCCATTCCAATATACATTTTTGAACGAGCACCTAGCTTCACTGACGCACAGACTGGCAAATTATTATTTATTTTGTATTTGTTGACGTTTCGAAAGTACCAAATTATGGTTTAATTGAAATAAATACTTCGACTTTGACTTTGGTATATTTTTTTACTTTGCTTTGCAATGTAATATCATACAAGATTTTTTCTTTCTCAATCTATAGACCCTTTCATAAGCAATTTCATAGATGATTTCATAATAACTATGGCGAGACAAACTAAATAAACTAAAAATCGCGGGTTACTCACGTGAATATATTGAAAAACGCTCTACTAGTTTCGAACCACAGAGGGGTTCTTCATCATGAGCAGTCGCGGCTACGTCGCGCAGCTCACTGGCGCTGCTTGCCCGCGATTTTAGTTAATTTTATAAATATGAGGTTTATTGAAATTCCCTAATTGTACCTACTGCCACATCTGACAAATATATCACTTGCAAGCGTTATAAATTAAGTTGTATTCATTACAATTCATAATCTGGACTTTATTCAATGACAGATAAGGTATAGGAGACTTAGCGTTTGGCTCTTTATACCTTAGTTATTGATTATAAATAGAATATGTCGATAAACCCAAAGACTTTAAATACATACGTCATTCAACATTATAATGGATTCTAATTGCCACTCTGTCTGCTTACAAAGTACAACGATTAACTTTTTTAGCCTTTTGGTCTTCCCCATTATTTCAAGATAATGTGATGACCATCCCAAACAGTTTTTATGTGGGGTAAACCCAAATTCGAATATCTACCTAAGTATTCGAATTGAGAGGTTACAAAACATATGTTTTACGACTCTGAAATTGATACAGAATTCATATTTTTTGTTATCGATTTTAAGATTCAGGTATATAAATATAAAGGTAAAGGTACATAATACATAAATCGAAATTCCTAAATATTTCCCGTCTGTCCTTCACATAAAGCATATTTTTTTTCATATCAAGTAAATCTTTAAATTCATTTTTTCCAGACGACATCCTCCTCCTCCGTTTCCTGACCTGCTGCCGGTTCAGTCTGGAGCGAGCCAAGCGTACCATCGACCTGTTCTTCACAATCCGTGCTAATGCTCCAGACCTGTTTTGCAAACGTGATCCTTGGTCATCGGAGATACAGCGCGTTTTTGAAATCACGTGAGTGTTAGTTATGTTCATTTTTGAATTTTTGAGATCTTAGAATGATGTATATTGATGGTGTCTTTCACATTGACTGACGTGGAGTGATACCACAGTCGTACACATAGTTATCATAAAAGAAACTTGGACAGAACCGTCAGAATGCTTACGTTGAGTTCAGAGGCCTTAGTACGAGTTTGTTTTACGTTTAAAGTAATCGAAATGAGTAGGCGTTCGACGCTCTGATTGGTTGGTTCATAGGACCCGGCCAATCAGAGTGCCGAACGAGGTCTCGTTTCGAATACTTTAAACGTAAATCAAACTGTACTAAGGCCTCAGATGTCATTTGATGTTGCGGATGTCTATGGACGACGCGCGATGCCGATTGTTTACCGTCTGGCGATCACTTACTGCCGATTTCGATTACCTATCATCAAAAATGTAAACGGATCTAGAGATTTTGAATTAAGATAAGTTTATGTTATAACTTTCGTGAGACATACTGAATTAATTATTAGAATTCTAGACTGCCTCGTTAGCCGAGTGGTCTCAAGTCCGACTGCCGGGCAAGGGGTCTCGAGATCGATTTCCGGGTAGGGCAAAGTATTAATGGGATTTTTAAAAAATTCTCAGTAATAGCAAGGAGTCTGGAATTTTGCCGGGTATATGGCAATAGGGTCACCCCCTTTAGGAGACTGCCGCGCTGCTACTGAATATGAGCCTGTATGGCTGAGTATGGCTTGAAACTAGTCGAGTTCCTTGTCAAATAATTAAGTAAATAAGCTGAAAAACACGATAATTAAGTAAGATAAGTTATTGAAATCGACAGTTAATTAGAAACAGTTAGAATCAGAAATTGTTCAATAGGCCTGTGGCTTCTGATGCACAAAACTAAGGGTGAGAATATACTCGATGCAGTGTCTCCGGATACTTACTTGTATATTTCCTAGTAATTATAAAACACTAAGAAAGTTTTGACCGACCTTGAGACAAGCTGAATTAAAATTGAAGATGTATTTAATTGATGATTAATAACTTAGAGATTAATTTCATGACTTTAAATTAGGCAGAACTTTTTAAAATACCGGTTGTATAAAATACACGTTACACTCGTTTCTAAGATACAAAGTATTACACAACATTAGGTCATCATCACCAACAGCCTATAAATGCCCACTGCTGAGCAAAGCCTCTTCTCACACGGAGAAGGTTTGAGCATTAATGACCACGCTTGCTCAATGCGGGTTGGCGATTTCAAACTAATAATTAGAAGTTATAAGTCCAGGTTTCCTCACGATGTTTTTCCTTCACCGTTTGTCAGTAGTGTCTAAATAATCTTAGAAAGTACATATAACTCGGAAAAAGTCACATTGGTACTTGCCGTTGGTAGGTTTCGAACCCGCACCCTGATGTATGAGAAGCAGGCGTCTTAAACCTCCGGACCACCACGACACACAACAACATTAGATACTAGAAATTAAATAAAAATAGCTCTAAATTAAATCTGTAAAGATCAGGAAGGAATGATATTATTATAAAACACATGACGAAGATCAAAGGTGATGAGCTAAATGGAAAAATTGCACATGAAACACTAGCATACGACTGTTACCAACATAACTTGCCCTTTGTCCATTAAGCTTCTTAGTTAATGTGGTAATCCCATCAATTACCGTGTCTACATACAGTTCTTGACATAAAATATGATGTAGTTCACAATATTTATTCAAGAGAACTTGTTCAAATAAGAGTTGCGCAAATCGACCGCATTTTGTCTTAAGGCCCTGTGAAGGGCTATTCAAGTACGTTTGGAGCGTAAATTCTTAAGTCTTTAACTTAACATAACATCACGCCTTTTTATCCCCGAAGGGGATGACAGAGGTGCACATTACGGCACTTAATGCCACTGAACAATGTAATACCCACTTTTCACTATTTATGTTATGAGTCCCATTCCCATGTAATAGGGGGTGAGCCTATTGCCACATATCGGGCACAATTCCAGACTCCGTGCTACTACTGAGATTTATTTTAAAACCCAAGATTACTTTGCCCGACCCGAGAATCGAACCGGAGACCCCTTGCCCGGCAGTCGCACTTGCGACCACTCGGCCACTAGCTGTACACAGCTTGTTGGCGACTGTCTTCACTTTTTGGTTGTCCAAAAATACATCTTACACCATGAAAATCTAATACTAAAGATTTTATCTTTAACCCATTGTATGCCGAAACTTAGATATACGCGAGACACAATGTGTTTTCTATTGTGTTGCATATGCCGGCAGATAAGAGGTTAATACTCCAAAGAAGGTAGACAGAGCGCTACATTTTAGACATCGCATCCAGTTTTGGACAGTTATATTACTTGGTGCATCAAATTCTATGTAATAAGGAGCAAGCCTGTTACTTTAGAAACTTTAACAAACCAACACTTGAGACACACTCAACTACAACGCGACTCAACTACAATGTATTTGACCTAAAAATAAATGTCAACTCATCTTCATTACAGGGACATGCTGCCCCTTCCGCAGAGGACAAAAGAGAACTACCAAGTGTTTATCTACCGCCTCAACAATCCTAACTTAGATCTGTTCAACTTCGTCGATGCTGTGAAAACCTTCTTCATGTTAGCAGATACAAGGATCACTGAGAATCATGACATACCGAAAGGAGAGATACCAATTTTTGATGCGGCAAATGTCTCACTCAGATTCATTGGGAAAGTCAATCTGTCGGCGCTTAGGAAATATATGATGTACACACAGGTATGTCCAATGTTTCTTTACTGTTCAGCTTGGAAACGTAAATTAAATATGCTTGTTATACCACGACGGTGTTGGAGAGCCATGCTTCGGCACGAATGGGCCGGCTCGACCGGAGTGATACCACTGCCTCACAGAAAACCGACGTGAAGCAACGCTTGCGTTGTGTTTCGTCGTGTGAGTGAGGTTACCGGAGGCCCAATTACCCGCCCCTTCCCCAATCTCCCCAATTCCTGAATCCCCAACGATTCTTAAACTCCTAATCCCCAAAAGGCCGGTAAAGCACTTGTAACGCCTCTGGTGTTCCAGGTGTCCAAGGGCGACGCCGATTGCTTACCATCAGGTGATCCGTCTGCTCGTTTACCGACTTATGCCATAAAAAAACGATAGTGACAAGAAAAGCACACGGCCCACCTGATAGTAAGTGGTTACCGTGGCCTATGAACGCTTACTTCAGAAGTTGCCAAACACTGTTGGAAAATTCTGTGACTTTAAACTTAGGTCCTGAAAACCACACACCATAATTCTGTTTCAAACCAAACATTCTATTACAAATTTTTAATCGTCTTAAATTCAAACACACGTACAATACAGAACATTGTTTTGTGGATAAGCTTAATACCTCTAAAGTACTCCAATTCACGAAGGATGAAATACATTGCAAATTCTGGAGGCCAAATTTACGTAACATAAAATTAATTTAATGTGCTTTTGAAACATTAACCAAATAACAACTTTCGTACGAAATGATAAATCGCTTTAATCTTTCGAAAAGTTGAGGTTGCAAGTGGTGTCGAGATCAGGTGGACCTTCGAACTTGTGCAATCCTTTATCAATTTTGCTTCGAGTCAGGTGTCTTTTCACTATGTCGATAATCAGGTTAATAACTGCATGCTATAAAGAGGTATTTATGCATTTAATTTTTGCCCCGTATACGTTACTATTTTCTTTGATGGAATGGTCTTTAATACTTATATCTTTCTCTCTATCTACCCCCTAATTAATTTCTCTACTAAGCTCGAGACTCAAAAAATACCGAACAATGGGCGTCGCATTGTTTACATCTCTGCTTATCCTTTAGGGTTTGAAGATGTAACATTATCTATCATGCCTGGATTGCATATAATATAATTGTATAGGTAATTCAGGTAATACAATTACTTCATCAAATAAATGAATTCTAAGAATGAAGCTCATGAATAGCGTAGTAGTTAACATGACTATAAAACGCTTTAATAACTTTGTAATTATCTGGCAATTGCAATCTTTGAACCCAATTTACGTGAGAATTAACCTTAAATAGCATGTTATAAGTTCTATTTTTAATTATTATTGAATATGTTAAGGTGCAAGGCAAACCACAGTCAGTCGTTGTAGTTGAACTTTGGTTAGTTGGCTGAAGTAATATTTAAAAACGATTTAGTATGGAAATATGGAGGGAGAAAAGCAAAGAAGGAGACCCTTAAAAGAGTGTTTTATTATTTGCAGCGTATTGAAATATATATAAATAACTTATTTTAGTAATCCAAATGATGAGAACTTTTCCACAGAGAATTATGCAAGAGATAGGCCCAAAACCTTAATATTTTTTTAATGAACACGACATGTCGTGCCAAAATGTTTGGCAACTGTGTATCACTCACTATTGTTTAATAATATATCTAAACAATTAATAATGATACCCTTTTTTAAATTCCAGGAGGCGATGCCAATTCGACTAAAGCAAGTGCACGTAATTAACGCTCCCTCCTACATTAACAAGATCTACGGACTCTGCAAGCCGTTTTTGAAGACCGAAGTCGCCAAACTGGTTAGTTTTTTTATATTTTATATGGGCCGACGCTTAACCACTATCTCGCCTGGTGGTAAGCGATGATGACGTGATCCATCGTAGACGCATGCGATCTACGATGGAGCACGTCGTCCTATAAGCAACCTGTTCACTCGGACCTTGAAGGAAATACAGACTCTTTAGCAGTACGTACAAGGAAGCTTGATGCGAAGCGCTTCGAGCGTGTGGGTGACATGACATAGGTCAAGTTTTACCTGGTAACGTTAGCAAAGTTTCTATCAGAGACTTCGTTAACGTTACCGGTTTGGTGTTTCATATAGTATATATAATGTCGTTTATAATCGAATTTTAACAAGCAGACCCTTTTTAACTGTCATGCCATATTTAGTAGCTGAGAATTGACAATCATAACTAAAATTTAAATTAACCTGTGAAGTGTCGTAACGCAGATCTACGGGAGACAAGTGATTTCTATTGTGTCTCATATATCGACACACAAGCAGTTAATTAATTAGCAAATGTTTTTTTAAAATACCTAGTCAAATTATCTTCGCATTATATCTTCGCATTGGCTAATGTTCTCTTCATATTCTTCTTTCAGATTCAGTTCCACGAGCCAAACACTGATACTCTATACAAAGATGTCCCACAAGAGCTCCTACCAACAGAGTTTGGTGGCAAAGCTGGTTCTATTGAATCTATTAAGAGAGTGTGGATCAAAAAAATTGAAGCCAAGAGGTAAGGATCAGTATGATATGATTAGAAATGTACATTTATTATATTAGAAGATTCATATCTTAACCCTTAAATCTTGAGGGTTAAGTTGAAGTAGAAGGAATTATACTTCATAATTGACTTTATTTCTGTTATCCTCATCACCATTACTAACACAAGTTTTTTTTTCTTCTCCACTTATAATATCTTCTGATTTATTTCCTTGCGGGATCCAAGACAGTTATTCATGTCTCTGGGACGCGCCGGTCTTTAGTGTGTTTTTCATGGTTTTATCTACTGTAAATCCTGCCTTACATGAGTTGCACCGGTTTCGGAAACAAGCGGCGGACTTGTCCCGGTTCAAAAAAAATCGTCGTCACTAATCTCAGTTTACAAGTTATATTTCCAGTATATGTTATTATTAACAATTACCAAATTTAAAATCTAAAAATTATTTCGATCAGAGTATCTGTATCGAAATCGACAGAAAGATGTAACTTAATATAGGATCACATCGCATACCAAAATCAATATAATATGTTGTAACAAACGCCAATTTACTTATGACAAAAAATATTTGTTACAGAGATTGGTTCCTAGCAAACGACAAACTATGGGCTATCGACGAGTCACGAAGACCCAGTGGTAACCATGACGACAGAGCTGATAAAGTCAAAGAGCTGCCCGGTTCCTTCCGTTCCTTAGCTTTAGATTGATGATAGAACTTATTTATTTAAGTAATTATAGTGTGATTTTCTTTTTAAATTATATTTGAGTTACTTTGATCCTTCAGGATAACTTTAATCCAAAATTAACTTTAACGTGTCTTTGTAACCGGGTTGCTATAGATCAGGGATGGCGAACCTTTGGCACGCGTGCCGTTGATGGCACGGAACACAACATTTTGGGCACGACAGTGACTACAAAACTAATGAATGATCAGAAACCTACAACGCATTTGTGGTGTCTCAAATATTGCTGGTGTACTCAGACTGCTGTGACAGCTAACCAGGTCAAATGTATACAATATTGCTACAGATTGACAGTAAATATCAGTCGATGACACACATAAAACCGTAAAATACTTTTCTTCAAAGTAATTGGCACGCTAATGTGTAAAGGTTCGCCTTCCCTGCTGTAGATTAAGGGTTTGGATCAAAGTTATCAAATAGGATCAAAGTAACCCAGACATACCTGTTATGTTTATAAACTTCAGTTTTGAGATTGGTTTACTTATATTCCTTTGATCTATTTTTTATTTTAGATTTTTTGACAAGGTTGTGTAGTTAGTAAGAAGAAGTGAAAGTGCAAATAGGGGATAAAAATGTTCTGTACCATGTAATATTAAATTAACTAATCTTATTCGAGTACAAGTTTGTATACCAGTGATCATTATTATTATTTGGTTAATATAATAATTTTGTCAAGTAGTTTTCAAGTATTTTATAGGTAGACCTTAAAACATCTAGAATTATAGTTATCTGCCTATGCTTATGTGATATGTTTAAGTAATAAAACATGATAATTTAAATAATTTATTTTTTTTTCTATTAAAAAAGATCATTACCAACAATAAAATATAAAACTGTTATAATAAACCCGGGTATACTGTACAAATAAATAAAAATAAGAATTGAACCTGAAGAAAGACTAAGAAATAAAAGTTGTAGGAAGGGTATTGTTATTTTACGTTGCTAGGGGAGCTGGTGTAGCTTAAGGCTTCATAATTTTATTATTTATGCTTATTCAATTAAATTATTATTCAACCAAGCTTTGACCCATATTATATAGATCTCGAACCTTAAGTTAAACATGAATATGATCTAAATTTTTCCCCGCTAACGCCATCTACTGATCCTAAAAATGAAAATGTCATAGTTTTAGTTGCATGACAAAATATCACGCTTACTTGAGTTGCGTGCTTATTCGATCCTAATCTTAATTAGGCACGCAGGCTTAAGTACACTGATATATTAACCGATAATTATACTGCATAAATATCTACACTAATAGTGTATTTTTACTGCAATATAATACTGTATCTACTACAATACAAAATCATATTTTTTTCTATATTTCTTTTCTTAGTTTGGTTTGATGGTAGGATCAAACATTTGTGGAGTTCGATCTAATTATTACGCTTTCTTGATCCAAATTCTAAATGCATAAAACTATTGTTGTTTTTGTAACTGTTGGAATTATCTCCCAGTGCAAACTGCGACCTTTATGGTTATAAAAAAATAAAATGTTAAAGTTGTATATGAAATAAGCTTAGCCTAACTTTAAAAGTGGAGATCCGTAAATTTTGCCTCATATCTCATATATTTCCTTATCAAAAGGAAATAATTTTATCAATGAACTTAATTTCACTGTAGCCAGACTTAAAACTAGAAAAGTTTTTTACTTAACAATACAATTATTGGACAAAATAATAAAATTTCGAGGAAAATTATTAATCTATAGCTAAAGTTCTGAAAGATCCGCTCATACTCGTATCGACCGCTGCGTTTTTTATCGCTTTTTTATTTATATCAGCTTTCCATAGATTTTCGTCCATGTAGAATGACCTGAAAAAACAATATTTTTTTTACAATTATAATAGTTCCAACTATTATTTTTAGAGTAACAAAAGAAGATTCTGAATCCTAAGCGAGTAGTTCAGGAGACAAAACTTTATGCTAACAAATTAAGGTAAAAATGAAATAATTATTATTGTCAGGTATTTATTTAATTTTTCTTTTTTTTTCTTTGGCAACCGAGTCTCCAACACGATGTTGTCGACTATACTGCCAGTGTCGAGTGGTGACAAGGTATTTATTTAAAAAAAGCAGCGTAGTAAATACTTGATGATAACACTCTTTTCTGACATTTTAAATCTTCTCAGTTTAAAAATGGGTATTTTATTAGAACTTATTAGTTTAGTAACTGTAAAATCTTTTCAATTCAGAAATAGGTATTTAATTACAACTTGTAAGTTTGAAAGTACTTAAAACACTTGGAAAGCAAAATGTATAATTATGAACCAGGATTAGGTAATATTAATTTACCTTTTCTCACATATTTTTTTGACCCAACATCGAGTCTGCTCCACCATACTTTCTGCTTCGCCGTCGTATTCCATGGGTAGATACTTTTTGTCTATATACTGGTGCAGTCCCATGTGGTCCGTGTGGAAATGAATCTGAAATGACAGAGCAACCATATTTATTTGTTCTACATAGGTCGAGAAACATTAATTGCGATTAGCACCACACATGGACATAGGCCACCTGGCCACCAAAGCAGTTACAAATGCTTGGCCTTTTAACTGCTTGAATGCACTGATATGAGTCACAATAGAAAATACATTGTGTCTCGCGTGGATCCACGTTTAGACACACGACGGGTTAAAGATAAAGGTGGAGAGTGGATTATATATCCGGTGCAGGTAACTAACATGGGGTTCTTCAAGCGAGGAATGAATAGGTTTATTAAGGGTCGGCAAGGCACATGTAATACCCCAAGTGTTGCAACCGTACATAGGCCACGGTAACCGTTTACCATCAGGTGGGCCGTGAGCTATTTTGCTACCGTCGTGGTATAAAAAAAAACCAATTGCCGCATTCACACGGCAAAACACACCGTAAATGTTGTTTCACGCCGGTCAAGCCCGCCAATTTTTGCGGAACCATGGCTCTCCGACGCCAAAAATACATTGTAAGTCTAATACATAAAATATCAACTACCTAATAACATTTTTAGCAACACTTACAATATCTCTAATATTCTGTGGTAATGCACCCTTGACTAAACCATACATGTACTCGTAGAACGAAGGACAGTTCACCACGTGGACTTGAATCAAATGTACTGGCGTTGCCTCCTGAAATAGATTGACGAAAAATTATATAATAAAACTTTTTTTGAGGATAAAAAATGTAATTATTGCCAAATTGCTTTTGTTTTATTCCGAGTCGTAATATTATTGTTGAATGGTGTTTGTTAGAAGAAAATAAGCGACTGCTAATGCAAATATTATACTGAAAACAATTTATGAACAAAATTGATCCTAAATTAACTAAAGTCCCGGGTTACTCACGTGAATATACTGAGAAAAGCTCTGCTACGCGCTGCGCGACGTCGCCGCGACCGCGCACGCTGCTCATGAGGAAGAACCCCTCTGTGGTTCGAAACTAGTAGAGCTTTTCTCAGTATATTCACGTGAGTAACCCGCGATTTTAGTTAAATTAGTATGTCTCACGATAATCATTATAAAAACAAAATTGATCCTTCTAGTTTTGTGATTTCATTTGGACCAACATTAAAATCTATAGGTATATGTTTTAGTGAATATGATTTTATATGATGTATTGTAATTATGTGATTCTATGTAACTGATTATTGTGGTAAAATGCTTACTAATAAAAACAGAAGAAACTTCTGGAAGAAAAACACGTTGGCCTTGGCAACGATCATCAGGGTAATCTCCTTAATATCTATGATGACAATGTGATTCTCAGGCAATGGCTCCCTTTCTAACGATATCCATTGATCAGATTGTAAAGTGAAAGACTTGAGACAGTCGTAGAAATCAAAATTTTCTGTTTTTTCCAACTTATGAATCAGGATCTCATCTTTGTCGGTCGAGTATGTTGCAACGGAGCTGGAAAGGTGAATTACAATTACGTAGGTATACAAAGATAAGAGTAAGTTTTAAATAAAATATATTTAAGGTGTGTTTCAATAACCCGAAACGAGTTTCGATGGAGCGGCTGATGGTTGAAGGGAAAGTCGAAGGCAAAAGATCTTGTGGGCGTTCTCCGACGCGGTGGATGGGCCTTATAAACCGCGAACCAAGCAAATATTAATGACAGTTCTCACTCAGCCAAATATCATGCGGCATGGAGGCGTATCGCAGGCGCAACTTTAAGCTGCGATGTACGACCGGCATCATGACCAGACCACTCTATCAAGAGCGTACGACTAAGAAGAACAACAATAACCTATCATTCAGTAGACTTATTGTGCTTTAGTGCAGTTGCGAATAGAGTAAGTACAAGGTAAACGGTGAACGTTTTCTCTTAGCATACATAGTTCGACTGCACGATTGGTGCGGTGGCTGGGCAACTGGCTACCGCGCAACGTCTCGCTGATTGGATTCCCGCACGGAACAACTCTTTGTGTGATCCACTTATTATTGTTCCGGGTCTAGGTGTCATGTGTATGTGAACCTGTATGTTTGTAAACGCACCCACGAAACGGGAGAAAATCCTAGTGTTTTTTACGAACGTTTTTTAAAAAACAAAGATAAGATAGTGGTGAAAACCATTTAACAAACCGAATGCTTCAATTGCAAGTTATTAAAAGCTAGATTTTTAAAAGGAAGAAAGGTCCTGATATATTTCCTCACCAACACGTCTTTAAAATATACACCACAATACATATAAAAACTAACAACAAAATATATATATACATATAAACAATAATATCACTCAAGTTATCTTTTTGTGAATTGAGTAAGTATAATAACTTTATTTTACTTTTGTATAATAGGAAGAACTAGCATAATAAATATATATATATATATATAATAGATAATGTTGTCTAAAATATCCATCCATAGTAAGTATTGTTGAGAAACTTACGTAATGTTAAAGGCTGTTTGCAATTTAGGTGACAGTGGGTCCCTATTGGAGTACACCTCAGTCATTGTAGCTCGGGTGTTGCAGAATGTCAGAATACATTTCTTGGTCCGCTCCAAACTGTTATTACAGCTGTACAGGAATTTCTTTATCATGATGTCCTCTGAAATATTAAAATAGGTGTGTTAAGTTAACATTATCAACAACAGTCCGTGTTAGTTCCCTACTAGACTAATGTCGAAATACAATCAATAATCAAACGCGCTTTTTTAAATTTTAGTCCCGTTTAAGTATACTTCTGTCAAAACAAGTTCTTTGTAAAATTAAGTACAACTTTAAATTGAGTAGCCTTCCAGTATTCAGGCGAAAGAGAGATTTTTCAACCACCAGTTAATTCTCAACTATAGAATAAATTGGTAGTTTTTATTAGGGGTCATCCACAAATTACGTCACACAAAATTCATGATTTTTTGCCCCTCCCCCGTCCTTGTCACAGCTAGTCACATTTGTGGGGTTGACAGTTAATTTTTTTTATGGCAAGATTTATTAACACGTTCGCGGACGCGCCGGTTATGACAGTCATTAGGAACTTGCGCAGAATGACGCGCCGGCTATACCCTTCGATATTTTTTTGTGCTTTAGAAGCACAACTGCTTTAGCAGACGAATTTCCATACTGCTACCATATAGTTCATCATCTAGTGCCCCCAAATTAAATTATTCGAATTGCTAGGTGTCACGTAACATGTCTTTTTACCGCTTCCAACGTACTACTACTTGGAACATTTGTGTGCGCACTCACACTGACGCAGCGGTCATAGCAGCGGCCATTGTATGAGAATTTGTTCCGTTGGCTGCGGAGTGCGCCGCGGAGAGCACACGTCAGGAACGTGATTTACGCGCGGTTTTTGACCAACATTTATGGTAAGTAGAATTGATTTTTATGATTAAATAATTAGATTACCTTTATTAGTAATATTTAAATGAAACGTAGGTACTTTAGAACATAATAATGTATATAAATACAAATCCTACTAATATTATAAATGCGAAAGTTTGTGAGGCTGTATGTAGGTATGTTAGTTACTCTTTCACGCAAAAACCACAGAAAGGATTTGGCTAAAATTTGGTACAGAGATAGTTTATAACCTGGATTAACACATCGGATAGGTTTTTATCCCGAATTCATGTTCCCGTGAGATAATTTTCGAGTTGTAGTGGGTGAAGCCGCTGCGCTGGCAACAGCTAGTATTGATAAATCATTGTTAATATAAGGTTTCAACAAATAATTTATCCTAAAATATTGATGTAAACAACTTCTACTTATAAATTCTACTTTTCAGATGTCTCGACAACGACTGAGTGGAGGTAAACCAAAAAATAACGATCCATACGAACGAGAAAATGAACGCATTATGAAATTGTTCAATGATACCTCATCAGATGAGTTATCTTAATCTTCTTAAGATTAAAATTATATTAAAGATTTTAATTGCAATGTCGTTTAGAATGATTAAAATTAAGGAAAGTTTATGTTGTGATTAAAAGGGTAATTTTTATATTGAAATAACTATTGTAATGTCGATGTAATTTTTCCTACATTAAAATAAATAAAACCTTGTGTTTTTATTATCTACTGGTGTTCTTTTTATCATAATTATTTTGAAACTTTATAGAAGGGGTTAATAATATTGAAGGCTATAGTCGCAGTATGCTGTATTTGAGTAAAATAACCGTTTACTACTGACGTAACGACTGATGCCTTTGAAGGCTATAGCCGGTGCGTCCTATTTGTATAGTCAAAGACTACATACCTGTGACGTAACGTTTGAAGCAGGCGAAGGCTATGGCCGTTGCTGTCTTATTTAAATACGTTGTCTTTTTTTACCGGCGACAGTACGGCTATAGCCTTTCATACAAAAATCTTGTGTCAAAATAGGGTTACAAAATCAAGCAAAGTGTCCGCGAACGTGTTAAGGTATGCAGACGCTGAATACTTATATTATTAACCTATTTGATTGAAATACGGTTCAACGAGAGTTTGAGACACTTACACTGGAAAGAACGGAAATCCCACGTGACAACTACGTTAATCTTCTGGGTCTCTCTATTTTTTAAATCATTGAACTTATTTGAGTGGAATTCGGTACAACGACGCGACGATAGTTTGAGACTCGGAAAATGACGTCTGAGAATTTTCAACCGTTGTACCTATTTGATTGGAATCCAAATGGAGTTTTAATCACTGAAACCTTACGTGAATGGATACTATAAGGGTAAAATACCTGTGGGATTGTTTAGTTTTTGAAATCATTAAAATGAACAACATTTCACAATAAATATAACTGAATCGATGCTGATGAGACTTGTTCCATAACCTTGGAAAAGACTAATTAAAAAATTCAAAATTTCCCAGAAGTATACGCGGACGAAGTCGCGGGGAACAGACTATATAATAAAATAACACGCAGTAAGTATTATAAAATATTTATCTTTGAAAGGTCATACTAATAAATTCTAAGATATTAAATTAATAAATTATATATGTTATCTAGATTAAAGGTTATTTGTTTAAATAGTTAAAAATATGAACTACCTACATATATATAAATAATCCAGCGAACAGTCTGCATTTACGATTACCAATAAAACAACGTCATGTCTTTCTGGTTTGTGTAATTTTAAATTATTCTGCATTTCTTTATGGCCGGTAAACGAGTAGACGGACCAATCATCGTAAGCAATCAATGTCGCCCACGGACACCCGGAACATCAGAGGCGTTACAAGTGCGTTACCGGCTTTTTGCGGATTAGGAATTTGACGATTGTTGGGGATTCAGGGATTAGGGAAATTGGGGTGTGGGGGTAGGGGTAATTGGAATTCTGTTAACCTCACTCAAATGACGAAACACAATTGAAGCGTTGTTTCCCGTCGGTTTTCTGTGAGGGCGTGGTATCACTCCGGTCGAGCCGGGCAATTCGTGCCGAAGCATCGCTCTCCCACACTTAAAATCCTATCCTATCCATGGTGACTTATTTCATATGATACTTATATTGGATATTTGACGTAATATTTAATGACAAGGTAAAAGAATGCTTCAAAGATAAAATAGAAATAAAACAAGACTCTCATGCTATCTCATTACGCAACGAACACTTGATCGACAAAAAGAATTAACGGAACAAAACATTTTTTGTTGGGCATGTACCACCAACTTTCTAACTGTCCATTGCAAAAGTTTAACTTTCATCTCAATTAGTTTGAACCGACTAACCATATTGCAAGTAAGAGGCACGCGAAAAAACAATTTCTAAACTCGAATACATGAATGTGTTTGCGAAATAGTGATTACTTAACTATTTGCTAGTGTGCACTTAAACCAAAAATTTTTTTTTTACCTACTTACAGATATAACAAGATTCTCGCATTAAAGTCTAGTTCATCGAATAGCCGGAAGCGCAAGTGCAAACAAGAAAAGAGACAAGATAATCGGAATAAATTCGCGGATAGAGCTACTGACAGGAGACCCTTTAGCTCATTTATTAAACTGTCAAACACCAAGCGGTCACCGGTGACCGCAACCTATTGTTCTATAATTGTGTCTACAAAACCGGTACTCGACGAGTTAACCCCAAAAAACGACTGTGGACGGAGACAGATGCCATGGAGAATTGTACCTATCGTTATTGGGCAATATTACCTTACTTATATTCCGGTTATATCTGCCCAAAGACGTAATATTATGTTTATATGATTGATTACTCAACTATTAGCATAATACACGCCTATTTATAGCACAGTTTTTTATTCGAAAGAGATACCTTCTTCGATACTTTGTCCCTTCGTCAATACATCTGTAAGTTCTTAATTAACACTTATAAAGTTTTGAAAAGCATGGTGTGACTTCCCCATGGTAGATTAGTGTTAATTGATAAATAGTAGACGTAGAATAGCGTGAATAACGTTAAACTTTAATTGAATGGTTTATTATTAAGTAGCGACCCGCCCCGGCTTCGCACGGGTGCAATATGCATGTATTATACATACAAACCTTCCTTAAGAATCACTCTATCTATTAAAAAAAACCGCATCAAAATCCGTTGCGTAGTTTTCAAGATCTAAGCATACATACGGACATACAGCGAAAGCGACTTTGTTTTATATTATGTATTGATACTTTAGCAAAAAAATGTTTTCTTTGGTTCATGATGTAATCGCAGAGGTGCCTATCAATAGCTGTTACATCGAAAGTATGTTTGTTTATCTTTAACGTTTGTAACATCGAAACTGCTGAGCCGATTGTGGTAGAAATTTGTGATAAATGTGATAAATCACGTAGTTAGCGCTGCTACTGTAATAAGCACCTAATTATTACCAGCTTTGGTTACACTGTTAGTAATTTAATTTGGTTTTATGTAACAAAAACTAAAATACTTTTATTTGATTTCAAATTTTGAAACTTTATATTGAAAATTTATTATTCTACATATAAACGAAAAGAAAACCACTTATATTACTATTATTAAGGCTATAGGTAACTGCCAACAGAAAACTGTTGAAGGCAAATCCTCCGCTAACGTCGGTCACCGGTGATCCCCATGGCGTTTAATGTGTTAAATACATGAATATTCGAAGAGCCAATCTTTCAACAAAAGATAGGCTAGTAAAGGTTTTTATCTCGGTAGTAGTTTCTCCTGCCAAGTTTGTAGTTCAGCAATTGAGATAATGAGACAAGAATATAGGAATGTAAATGAATAATTATCGTCCCAATTTTTCGCATGTATCACTACATCACTACATAGTATAAAACAAAGTCGCTATCCGCCGTCTGTCTGTCCCTATATATCCTTAGATGTTTACAACTACGCATAGGATTTCGATGCGGTTTTTTTAATAGATATAGTGATTCTTAAGGAAGGTTTATATGTATAATACATGAATATTGCACCCGGACGAAACTGGGGTGGGTCGCTAGTAAAACATATAACGTAGGTAGGCATTATAAAACCCAAGCAGAAAATATGCCAATTTCTTATACAATTTGTTACAGATTATAACATTCTTACATGATTTTCGTTAACAGGAAACTGACAAACACATAAATATTTCTATGTAATGACTCTATCCGTGTAAATAATATATATAAATATTGAGTACTAAGTAAATAAGTATTATTATATCATCATGAATACCAATCATTATGTCAAACACTGTTCTATTATATAACAAGATACATAACGGTTAAGTACATAGAATGACGATAGGCAATATTTTCATTGTATTTAGTATATTATGCAGACATAACGTATTTTCTAGGAGGTAGTCTTTGTTAGCTAAATATAATATGAACAATTGCTCAATCCCCAAGTGGTCACCGGTGACCGCTCTTCACTAACTACATTATAGACCTTATTTCTTTTTAAGACTACTTTTATATGAACAAATTTAGGGGACGATATTTCTATTAGGTACTTTTGTATAAACAAATTTAGGGTACGATATTTCAACAGGTTGAAACCTATAATTACGTACCATATAAGGCAAAATTAAATTTTGAATCCCGTAGATAAATCCGTCTGTATTATAATGCTGCGCCCTCTTTTTGTTTATAAAAAAAAATAATAAAAAAATAAAGAGTATAAAGTTAAAAAAAATCTAATCAATTGACCAAGAATATTTACTTCTTGACCTCTTTGACCCACATACTCTCAAATTTGTATACTAAGTATATTGAAGACACGTGGAACTATGTTTTATTTGAAAGTTCAGATTTTATTTAAATCAATGTTTTTAATCGAAGGTTGTTGTTGTTTTTTAATCAGCATAGTTCAGTATCACACCGACTCAAATACACGTGTTGTAATAAACTTGTCATATATTTGTGTGTGACACACGAAACGTTCCGCGCGCGTCTCAAACCGCCATCAGACCACTAGAGATGGGTCCAGAGGGCCAAGCAGGAATAACTATCGCATTCGTATCGTAACAGTATCGAGCGAAGTAAGCGTTCTGATTGGTTGGATCACTCGAGCCGGCCAATCAGAGCGCCGAACGCACTCGATACTATTACGTTACGATTGCGATAGTTATTCGTGCTTGGTACTCAGATGCCCGATACAGAGCCACAATGGGCCTAACGAGTTGTATGGACTCCGGCTCGAAAAGCAGGAGTAGGAATGGGGTGGTTTTTAAGGGAGCAATATCATCGAATTACTTCTCCTGCCTGGGTGAGGCGGGAGGGAGTATCAGACTCTTACTGACTAAAAACCACCCCGTTCCTACTCCTGCACTTCGAGCCGGAGCCCCGGTAACCCGCTAAGTTCTCCCCGGCTTCAGATCCCAATTGCCTAGAGAGCAAAATAATTATTGAGTAACTACTTTTTGTTGTTTTTTTATAGTAACACGCACAGAACCTAAAATGGTGCACAGTATATGCACAAATGCTGCTATCAGCATAAGTTACATAAGAGCGGTAGTTTTAAATGAAAAACAAATGCATGGTCATCTTGTAAAAAAGTCAAATAAATGATATTGTCCACTGTCACGTTGCGTCATTTGACGAATGCATGCATCCTTCACAAACAAAAGGCGGCCTACAAATGACAAATGCTTACATCTTGCTTAGAAAGCGACAACCTTAAGTTTGTGAAGGATGCATGCATTCGTCAAATGACGCAACGTGGACATGTTACCCTAAATGACGCCACATCTTTCTTCAGAAAAGGATGCCATTGTACAATACTGACAATGACTCACTCACACATACGCCTTATCTAGGTAAATCGACATTGAGGTCAAACGCCATGAATTTAAAATGACCTCAAATAACAAACAATAAGAAAATTGTGAATAACATGATTATCGTTGAATGACATAAGTGGCGAGTGTTTGTCAAATATATAAAAAAAATAACCCATGAATGTTCTAATTCATGGGTTATTTTATATTATCAATCATTTTATATTATCATCAGCTATATTTATCAATCATGAAGAAAAAAAAACAAAACACTATTCAATTGTTTTTTCATTAAGAAAACATTAGGGCCTCTCTCCCTCCTATTTTGCAACCTATTCAGGCGGGCCTTAAAGACACCCAGGTTATAATCTTCATGAAATACAGACTCTGGCAAAGAATTCCACTCCTTAGCAGTAAGCACACGAAAGCTTGATTACAATGGCTCCATCTACCTATGTGATAATCTATGTGTGTACCTAAATACTAAGACACATAGATAAGTACAGTAAGTCATTCACACAGAACATAGTATCACGCCTTTTATCCCCGAAGGGGTAGACAGAGGTGGACATTAAATTACGCCACTGCACAATGTAACAGCCACTTTTCACTATTTATGTTATGAGTCCCATGTAATAGGGGGTGAGCCTATTGCCATATACCGGGCACAATTCCAGACTCCGTGCTACTACTCAGAATTTTTTAAAACCCAGTAATACTTTGCCCGACCCAGGCATCAAACCCGAGACCCCTTGCCGTCGCACTTGCGACCACTCGGCCAACGAGGCAGTCAGACATTAACAATTATTGTTCTTTTAATGGCATAGGAGACAAAGAATCAGTTGATGAACACCAAAGTAGTGTATTGCTTCGGTTTCGTCATTCATTTTCCTTCGGTAACGTCACTTAACTAAATATTTGGAATACAGCAACGTAAGCATTGCTTGACACCGATTGCCTATAATACTGTGGTATCACTCCGATCGAGTCTGCGCATTAGCGCCGAAATATGGCTATTCTATGCTTTACTATTTCTTATGTAAAAGGATTTCTCGAGCGCCTCAAAAAAAGGACAGCCTGTCAATCACAATATTCATTAAGTCCTTCAATTAAATTGAAATAAAAAAAGCCTTCTTATTTCCAGTAAATTTACATTTCCTATTAAAAATCTATTAAAATGATTGTTTTATTTTGTTTATTCTAAGATATGTATTCTAGTTTATTTATTTTTTATCTATTTCTTTGTAATTCTTTTATTTCTAATTGATTTATTCTAATGTACCGGAATCTCAGAAAGGGTAAAGGCCAGTGACGCCCACGTGACTCTGTCTTCAGCTACTTGAGTCTCTAGTTTGGACCAGCTATAACTTTAATATTATCTTATTTTATTTTATTCTTAGTCAAAATCGTCCCACTGCCAATGTGATCATGTAATGTCATTTTTCCATCTTATAATGGGTCTATCACTCGTTTTTCTGCCTAGTGGGCCCTTCGAATGATCTTACAAATACTATAGATTCTAGAGGTCTAAATTCTAATTTTATTCGAATTGTTCTAGAGTCTAAAACTTATAATAAATTTGTTTACTCACCGAAGTTTTTTGGTAGAGTAGGATCTTTGGCCATCCAGTCTTTGATCGCAACCACATCTTTTTCACTTACTTGTGTCATCTGAAACCAGACAATATGTTAAAAATATGTTAGTTTTTAGAATGCCATAATATGATGGGATGGACCTGCAGGGCGGAAAAAGCAAAGTCGCAGTTAGGTTTGGATAGGATGGCGAAACATCATTTGTAACTGAAGATACAGAAGAATAACGTTTTTGTGATTAATATGTAATTAATAACTACAATTATAAATAGGACAGATTATATTTGCACTCAGTTAACGACTTTTCTAATTTTATTAAAAAATTACTCAAAGAAGAATTGTAAAGAAGACGGTGTTATGCAGTTTTTCTATACATACAATCAATGTAGGAAAACTGTTGAGATTTATAACAAACCAACAAAACCGTCGTTTTAAATTTACTGCCGAAATATAATAAAAACGATGAACTTTAAAAAAAACACCGGTTAGACGAGTCTTAGTTTACTATAAAAACTATAGTAAAACTATTTCTGTTATAATACCTATATGCTGTATTGTCTCGGTATTATTTACTAGTCAGTCAGTTTGTCAGTCTGTAAATAATTGTACCGACGCTCCCAAAAAATGCCACCAGTGAAGATTTTTTTTTATATGGCATAAGCCGGTAAACGAGCAGACGGATCACCTGATGGTAAGCAATTGGCGTCGCCTAAGGACACCTGGAACCCCAGAGGCGTTACAAGTGCGTTACCGGTTTTTTAGGGATTAGGAGTTTGAGGATCGTTAGGGATTATAGGCTTAGTGATAGTAAAAAACCAGTTTTATTTTCATATAAATAAGGAATTAAATGTTTTTTATGTACCTAATAATAGTTGTAATCAACTGCTCAAGCCTGATGTTTCATGAATAACACGAAAACAAATCGATTGAAATTGTAAAAACAATTTCTTTTTGTCAGCATTTCGGGACCGTTCCGCATATTAATTCCATCAAAATGCTACGAACAAATTTGTCCATTTACTTATTAGTAAACAAACGATATTTGTTTTTATTAACGCTTTGCCTAGACAAATATATATTCTGAATTTATTATTAAACTGTCAAATACCAAGCGGTCACCGGTGACCGCAACCTATTGTTCTATAATTGTGTCTGCAAAACCGGTACTCGACGAGTTAATTTTCATTTTTCAATGCAAGTACTCCATGTGTCCGGAGCCGCGAACAATTTAATGCGTTACCGCGTCTCCGTTCGAAGCAGGAGTATCTAGGTACAGGGTGCTTTCCAATAAGCCATTCAATAAGTCTGACACGCTCTTGCCTAACCCAACGCGGGAAAAGTCATTAGATTAAGAGATTACATTATTTCGTTCGATCCAAGACAGTTAGTTATTCATGTCCTTGGGCACGCCGGACTACGTGTGTTGCGTTTCGGTGTTTTCATGGTTGTAAGTACCTACTGTAGATTCAGACTTAAAGCAGTTGCCGCGGTTTTGGGATACGACATTAAAAAAAAGTGTCCCATGTATGACAACGGGCTCGCCCCCTATTAGTGATTGATAACATTATTGATATACACAACATGGCTTATAACGTAATTGTCGAATAGTGGGTGGTAATTTTTTTTGTTTTTTTAGTATTAAATAATGAATTCTTCGATTCGAATAGAGCACTTTAGTACACCCGGTTCCCTATACCCTATCCCTACCTAAATAAGCTAAATGAAGACGTAATTAAACTTAAATAAAAGTTTTTTTTTTGTTTATCATTTCTGCCATTAAATTAATGTCTGTTTAATTATGTATTTATGTATCTGAATGCTATTAAAAAGCCCAAAAATATTGAAATCTTATTTAAATACATTAATTAAAAATTAACACAGACCTTGAATGATAAACGAATCATTTTATTTTTAGAAGATTTTTAAATGTCATTCTTTTAGGACAGTATTTATAATATTGAATTCTTGCCTATTTCCTAGAAAAATATTGTTTTACATGAATACATTAAAATTTTAAGTTTCCCTTTATTTTTATTTACAGTAGAGTACATACATTCCATGGTAATAAACTCACTAAAATAATTTTATCTTTAACCTCCACGTTAGTAAACTATAATTTTCAATGAATATTGAAAACAATAATAACTCATTTATTTATAACTAAATAGAACTTATTTAAATTTAAAATAACTCTCGATAATTCCATTTTCTCAATCTTGGAGTTATTTATTAAACAAAAATATATTATTTACATATTTCGCCTAATTTCTATGATTAAATTCCTTACTATAACCTTATTCCCCTTACTTCCCTTATTACCTATTGGTATGAATAGAATCATAAATTATTCATTTTAAAGTGTACATTTTTTATCGATAGATAAATTACTATTTAAAAAAAATCACACCGTAAATAAACAAACACCTTACCTTGTTTACTAGTATTTAACAAACAAAAAAGAAAATCGTAAACAAATAGTTGTTTATGAGAACCGCACAACGAAATCACCTTCACTGATTGGTGACTGTCAGAACACTAATAAATAAATCTAAAGCGTCCATTCTATGCATACTTCTTTTTTAACTCTAAGGCCAAGCGCACACTACTCGAATGACGAATGATACGCACCGCAAATTCTGAGGTAATGCGACTGTCGCAACCACAGTTCTTTGGGCATTCAAACGAAAATTGGATATTGCCAAAATTCCGTCATAGTGAAATGTTTGTAAGCAAAATAAATATGTATTGCGACATTACTGCAAACAGCGAAGGTACTTATTAGCATGCAATGTTGCATTGAAATGTGGATATTATAAAATATAGCGATTTAACTATTATAAATGATAATACAGTACAGTAACACTTCTCTGCCCTGCGGGGCTGCGGTTGACTGGTAGAAAATGCCAATCGACACTAAGCGTTCATGCATACGGTGTCGTCATCACTCTGTCGCTGCGAAAAATGCTTATTTAAAGCTAAATTACACGATTTTCAAAATCATTTTCATGTATAAACTTTGTAAATATGGAGAGACATTTATGAGCATTTATCGACCAAGATCGAGATCAAGTTTCTTAAACAACGAAGCTAGACTATAATTGATGACACGGTGGAACACACTGTAGCGGAATGCCCTGCGTGGGCTGAGCACCGCCGTGCCCTCAGAGACGTTATCGACGATGGCGACCTCTCGCGTCCGGCCCCAGTGAGGGTCATGATGCGGAGCGAGGGGGACTGGGATGCCGTCTCCTCCTTTTGCGAAGCAGTCATGCTAGCTAAGGAGGAGGCGGGACGCGTGAGGCACTCTAGGCATCGGGGATCGCGGGACGATCTCCGGCCACCATAAGCGCGGGCCTGCGAACGGCGAGTATGGGTGGCTCACCATCCGACCAGAACCAGACCCGAGCGTCAGACGCGTCGCGTTCCGCGCGCGCCCCAAAGAGCCATCAGACCACCAGGAATGGGGCCCAATAGGGCTGATGCCGATTCGGAGTCGCGGAAAACCTAACGGGATACCGGGGCTCTGACTCGAAGTGCAGGAGAAGGAACGGGGTGGTTTTTAGTCAGTAAGAGTCTGACACTCCCTCTCGCCTAACCCAGGCGGGAGAAGACATTCGATGATTTTCGTCCCTTAAAAAATTAAAGACTGTAATTGAACCGGTGATACATAATAGTAGCTATTTTGGCCACCCTGATAACCTACTGCGAAGTAGGTCATGAAATATTTTAAACAACATAAGGGAATGGCACTGCATCGTATTTTGAAATTACATTGTCGTGATAAATTCCAAAATGGAGATTGTTTCAGGACCTGCAATTAAACGTAAAAGCTAACGTTTCTTATGACATTATTAACAAGCAACATCAAGTTACGTAACCACATATCCTAATGCAAATCACTATGCAATAACTGGAAATCCCGATTGTTTGAGGAAATGTTAATACAGAATATACTTTTTGTGCTTATCATCACACAATTGAAGGTCACTGATCAAAATTAACTCGCGAAGGTTTCTTAAAAGCCAAGATAGAATAATATAAACTCACCTGTACCAAAATTGTATCCTAGAAAGGATTTTTGTGTACCTACCTAAAGTAAATAATGCTAATTGCTAATGCATAGGTAACTGAAAAACAATTAATTAATGTTTTATGTTTATGGTTTCATAGTTCATTAAAATACTGATTAAATATGAAATTTTATCATTTACATTATTATTAACCGACCGATATTTTTAACCGACTTCAAAAAAAGGAGGAGGTTCTCAATTCAACCGTATGTCCGTATATATGCTTTTTTTTGTAATAATGATCGTGAGACATACTGAATTAACTAAAAACAACTGTAATAGTCGGGACCTATTATTATTTTTCACTCAAATATTCATCGTCTTATATGAATCCGGTTTGTTAAAGTTGTTTTAATCAGATTACGTACTACCGAAGTTGTTTATTTACCTACATTTTTAATCATTTGCAGTTGGGTTTATTAATTTTTAAATTAATTTATTGATATTCATTTCCATTTTGGACATGCCTACCTGCATTTGTGAGGAGTCTAAACTTTACATACATGTAGTTTTTTTAAGGTGGAAAATTATCGAATGACTTCTCCCGCCAAAGGGTGAGGCGGGAGGGAGTGTCAGATTCTTACTGACTAAAACCACCCCGTTCCTACACCTGCACTTCGAGCCTTAGCGCCGGTAACATTTTACATTCTCCGCGGCTGCGTATCGGCATCAGCTCTATTGGGCTCCCTCTGTGGTGGTCTGATGGCTCTTTGAGGCGCGCGCGGAATACGACGCGCGACGCGCCGAACTCTCGGGGCTGGTTCTAGTCGGACGGCGAGCTACCCGCAGGTCCGCGCTTACGGTGGCCGGAGATCGTCCCGCGATCCCCGATGCCCGGAATGTTCGCGACGGCTTGGTTGTGAGGAGGCAGCGCTGCATCAAGCGCCCCGCCTCCTCCTTAACTCAAAAGGAGGAGATGGCATAGACTTTTCATACTAAGACTATTTGTGTATAGGCTGTATACGCACACGTAAAAAATATTTATATATCATCATCGTCATCGTAACTTCAAAACTCTGGCATAGATAGTGCGCGGTACCCATACATATAAATAACTACGAATTGTTTAAGGCGCATAATTGTTATCTATTTAAGACGTCAAAATATATTTGGCATCAGCTTTTATAGAGACATTTTATTGGTTATTCTGTTTACTATTGAGATTAAGAATCTCCCAAATTGAACGACACAAAACTGAGTCTTTTACATCATAGCAATAAGGTTCATTTCTGCTATCACATAAATCACCTACAGGCGATTGTTTGATCTTCTGGGTGGTTCTACGTCAGAATTTTATTATCACGTCCCGAATTGGCATCACACAATTAAATAATTAAAATTTAGCTCAGCTACTTAGTTGTAATTGCTGTATAAAATCTAAAATACATTATAAAGTGTGTGCCACATTTGAACCGTTGGACACAATGACATTATATTAATAAAAAATGGACACCGTGCATTAAACCAAGAGTTGCAATATTTTGTTTTACATTTTTCTTTTAAGTATGACTTCATAATTAATTTTGGAGATTCGTCATCAACAGCTTTATAAGTGGCCACAGCTGACCTAAGGCCTCTTCTCAAACGGAGAAGGTTTGAGCATTAATCACCACGCTTGCTCAATGCGGGTTGGCGATTTCAGACTTAATTAAAAATTTTAAGCCCAAGTTTCCTTACAATGTGCACCATTAGTCAATGGTGTCTAAATAATCTTAGAAAGTACATAGGTATAACTCGGAAAAAGTCGCATTGGTACTTGCCATTGGTAGATTTCGAATCCGCGCCCTCATGCATGGGAAACGGGCAATAAACCTCTGGACCAATACGACTTTTAAAGATTAGGTACTTCTTAAATAAACCCTTTATAATATTTTTTATTATTTAAGAAAAACAGAAATAACTTTTTTGCTCGTGTGTTATTCTCATATACGATGAGAATGACAACAATTTGTTAGAAATAACAAGTTTTTTGTATTACTACGTTAAGTACCTGCGAACAGGTAGGTAGGTACTACAAACCACTCATTAAAATACTTTTTCAGCGATAAAGGATAAATGTATTAACTTGCACATCTTTAGACAAATATTAGTTTGTAAAAAATATAAAATATCTCTATCTATTGATTCGTTTGTCTCGTTCGTCTGTAATATATGTAAATAATGGCTAATACTCATCAGCCTGTGTTACAAAAAAGGTTTTAAAGTTCTTCTCAGTCGTTCTCTTCATTACTGAAGGTCGTGTCTAGTCTGGTGCACGCGTCACTTGATGTACAACCCTCCTCCAAGCGCCCCTGTCGTCTGCGGTCTTTATGGCTTGTGGAACTGTCAGGCCTGTGAGGTTTTTTACAGCATCTAGCCATCGGGTAGGTGAGCGACCACGAGGTCTTTTCCCGTTAACCTGACCAACAACCTCAAGCTTCTCCAGATTTTTGGTGTGTGTTAAAAGTACCGAATTATAAACAGCATAATAGCATTTTTTTTTAAGGGGGCATAATCATCAAATGACTGCTCCCGCCTGGGTGAGGCGGGAGGGAGTGTCAGACTCTTACTGACTAAAAACCACCCCGTTCCTTCTCCTGCACGTCGAGCCGGAGCCCCGGTTACCCGTTAGGTTCTCCGCGACTCCGAATCGGCATCGGCCGTATTGGGCCCCATCTGTGGTGGTCTGATGGCTCTTTGAGGCTCGCGTGGAACGCGACGCGCCGTACGCTCGGGTCTGTTTCTGGTCGGACGGGGAGCCACCCATGCTCGCCGTCCGCAGGCCCGCGCTTACGATGGCCGGAGATCGTCCCGCGATCCCCGACGCCCGGTGTGTCCTTCGCGATGGCAGCATAACAGCATAAAGGTTTAAAAAGGATCATTATTTTTAACGCGAAACTGCTGTATAGATTTTGATGACATTGCGCTTAGAGATGAACAATGACTTATACATAACCGGATAAGCAACGGATGAAGGACTAACATACCATTATTTAAGGTGCGTGCATAAATTACGTGAGGTGTTTTTTTTTAATTTTCTGTCCCTCCCTCCCCCCTGGTGGGATTTCGTGAGATTTTATTCAACACCATCCCCTATTCCCCAATCTCACGTAAGATTTTTCAAAATGTTGCTTTTTCACGTATTACTTTTTACTACTATGTACTAACAAAATTTTAAAAATAAATCCTGAAAAACGTCTTTATGTTGACACGACTTGTTAGTCGTATTATCGCGCTATCATCTACGGAGGAGGAGCCCTATACTAGGTCCTTAATCAATTCTGACGACATTCATTAACGTAGAATATCCCTTGATAAAGACTAATTCAAAAGCCTAAATTCTGCTAAAGTCATTATTCGGATATTATATCAAAAGCTAGTATAACATATTATTATTGTATGATTATAATAATATCATAATATTATTAGTTATAAGTTAAATTGTTGCGCCCGAACACGAATTGTAGGTACTAGTTGTATGAAAATGTATTATATGCATTGTACGTTATACAATA